CACACACACACACACACACACACACACACACACACACACACACACACACACACACACACACACACACACACACACACCACACACGCACACACACACACACATGCTGAAAGGACAGTAGCGGCCATCTGCCCCAGTAGTTTTTCTTCCAGAAGCTCATCAGGACCCAACAGGTTGGCATGAGACAGTAAGAAGCCTCACTCCAGACTTCTCACCCTGCCAGGCTTTTCCAACAAATCAATTCTCAATTAAACTCTGTTGTTTCTGGGCTTCTAATGAACTTTGATGCAGAAATACAGATAGATGGAGTGACCAAATCCCAGGGTCTGAAGCCTTGCCTTAGGGTTGTTCTGTAGATTTAATGGGCTAATATACATACTGCTTTGGGGACGGTACCCAGCACATAGTAACTGCTTAATAAATTGAGCTGTTCCTGTCTCGAAAGTATTCCGTGAGCCAGTGACAGTGAGAACCACTTATCAGCCTAGTCCCTGGTTCAGTTCATTAATATGGGGCTGGAGCCTAATTGGCTTCTAACTCTTCCCCTGCCCCACAGGGTAACGGTTTGGCTGTCGACAGCTCCCACTGAGCCTCTGACTCACTGGTATCAGGTGCGGTGCCTACTTCAGACTCCTCTCTTTGCCAAGGAAGGAGAGACCCTCTCAGGGAGAGTGCTGTTTGTCGCTAATAAACGGTAAGCGGGCGAGCGCAGCTGCCACCCTGCCTGTGTTCACTGGGCCCTGCTGCTGGGGTGCGGGTGGCAGGGCCCCTGAGGCTCCAGCACCTGAAGGTGGACGGCAGCCTCTCCAAAGGCCTGGCTGAGTTTGCACAGGTGCCCTCGGCTTCAGAGCCTGCAGGACACATGTCACCTTGCACTGAGGTAACTCAAGGACAGCAGTCCCCCCCCTTACCACGGCAAAGGGGAGGAAATCCGTCAGCTCATGGGGGCGTTTGCCAAAGGCTTGAATTATCAAGGGTTCTAAATCCCACGTCGGCTTCCTGGCCTTACTTACATCTGTCTAACCACACACCCCCAAATTTAGTACCGGGAAGCTGATCTGCACTGCAGGGAGAAGAGCACTGGGGGGCAGGGTGTGGTGTGTGAGGCAGGACTGCTTCCCTCGGGTAATGGGCTTCGTGAGGTCCCTGCAGTGATTACTGGGACTTACCTCATTTTTACAACCCTCTATTTTCTTTCATTTTGTTGGCGCTTCTCCTGCGTGAGTTAGAGGAGGAAGGAGTCACGGAGTGGATCAAGGACTCTCAGGATATTGGGGGTACTCAGAGGTCATGGCATTCACCTCTCTTCCCTCCCAGCCACCCTCTCCCTTCCTTGGGCCTGTGCTTAAACACGCCAGTGACAGAGAGCTCACCATCTCGCCAACCAACTCTTCCATTTTTAAAGTCTGTCTTTCTTTAACTACAAAACCTGACATACTTGCGTGTAAGGTGAGAACTACAGAAGTGCCTAGGATCCAGCCGCATTCCCACCCGTCCCCCATTCCCCAGGTGTGACCCCTTGTTCCTAACCCTTCCAAGTGACGCTCGGTGCATGTGCCAACAAGTAATGCTGTTGTGGAGTTGTTGTTTTATAAGAATGTTACATTTGCTGTCTACAACTTAAGTTTTCACTTAGTAGTAAGTCCTCAGTCTGCGTAGGTAGATCTGCTTTGTTCTTTTCATAGGTGCAGAACAGTCAAGGGCATGGATATACCATGCTGTCCTTTTAAAGTCCCCCGATTGACTGATGTTTAGGTTGCTTTTGATTTTCTTGTTTGCCACTGCAGAAAATTCTGCACTAACTTACCCTTGAACGTAGAGCTTGTGCACTGACATGAATATTTCCAGATAAAATACCTTAAGAATAGAAATGTGGGAGCAGAGGGTACGTGCCTGTCAGAGACTGACAGACCCTGCCTTTCTCCAGGGCTGCTCCAGCTTCCACTCACTCCAGCAATGAATCAGCAGGCCCATTTCTCCAGATCTTGCCTGAAACCGAATGTTACCAGTCTCTATGGTTTTTGCCAATCTAACAGATTCCAGAATAAGTGTTTGAAGTTGCTTCTGGTTGTTTTGGCTTATGTTTTTCATTACTGATAATGTTAAGTAACTTTTCGTGTGGTCATTAGCTATGACGACTCTCTTCTACTTTAGATGTCCCTGATTATTCGAAACTTACTCTGGCTGTCGAGCCTATGTCTCACTTCCTGTAGAGTCTACTCACTGATCTTAGTTGTGTTTCTGAATTCAAAACAAATAGGTCTGGTGAACCCTCCAAATAGCAGTTGTTTAAGTGTTAGGAGAGTCTGACCCAGTATCCTGCTGGTCTCCCTGTCCTCAGGCTGACATCCTCAATGCCTCCGTCCCAGAAGAGTGATTTTGAAGTAGTCTAAAATTTAAGTCATCCCTCCTGGAAAAACCCAGGTTCTCAATGTTCCCTTTAAAATAGTTTTCCAAAACTACAGGACAGCATATGTGATTTCTTAAGTGCTGGGTACAAAGTGACAGTGACCACGGCTATTTTGAGTACCATATTTATATTAATGTGATCCAAGTTTAAGTTTGAGGGCCATTTTACTTGAGTGTTTAGGCAATTAAAACCAGAAAGTGTAATTTCACATGATCTGCTTTTACGTCATTTCTCCCTTCTCCTAGTACGCAGCTGGTTTCTGTCATCTTTGGTTCAAGTTTTTGTATTTATTCTACTCGTGCGTTCATCCTGCTGTCTTTAGATCCTTACTAGAGCTAATGGTTCATTTTATTTATTTTAAAAAATTATTTTGTGTAGCATATTAGTGATTCCTACCATTTTGTATCATTTGCAAATTTAATCGGAAAATTTTTACTTAAAAATTATTAAGCAGGAAGAGGCCCAGGGTGTAAATCTTCCTTCAAAATTTGCACAGCCTAGTCCACGCCCTTTGGATCTGGTCATAGAAGTAGCTCAAAACCCCTCCACCTACGCTCATATCCAGCCCACACCCCTCAGTCCCGACCAGAAGGACATATGAACCGACCTTTATCAAATGCGATTCCAGGTGAGTTTCATCTCCGGTTTCGCCCTCAGGGCTTAGTCCTCTAACCCTGCCAAAAAGGGAGATGAAGCTACTTGAACATTGCTATTATTCTTTAGTGAGGCTGTGCTCTATCTGTAGCTATCATAACTTTCTGTCTCCTTAAAGGGCTATTTGATTTTTAATAGACAGTGTAGTTACACTGTTCACAATGAAAATGTACTATAAGCTTTGCAATGCAGTCTCCCTCCCAGGGCCAGACTGCATTGGTCCCCCTGCCCTCCTGCATCACGGAGTCACTGCTAACCGTCCTTGCCTAGCCTCTGAGGCTCTCATGTTGGATATACACTTAAGGAACACTGTTCTTGTACAGGTATTTTTTCCTCTGCTTTTATACCTAAATGGCAACATTCTACACCTGTTTTCTGCATCTTAATGTTCTCACTTAATGATACATCTCTAATACATTTCCATATCAGTACACTGAGATTTTTCTTTCTCTCCCTCGAGTTATTATATTTCTGCATCATGGTCTTCCTTCATAAAAGTTATTGCTTCCTTCATAAAAGTAAGGGCTTCATTGCAGTTTTAAAATTTTGTAGCAAACTGTTTGCTCACATTTTCCAATTTATACCATCTTTTATCTAATATGTGTTTTTCATCTGTTAGTAAATTTTGCTCCTTTTTTCCTACTTTTTTCTAATAACATCTTTGTATTAGTGTTACGGTTGTTCATCATCCAATTAGTGGGACTTTTCTGGACAGAGATTTATAAGAAAGAAGTTCCTGCGGTGGGAAGAGATGCGGCAGTGTCCGTGCTAGCATTTTTCCCAACTCACGCCCGTCCTTCTGTGCTGCCCCAGAGCCACACTGCGCCCTGCACACAGGGCTGCTCTTGTGATTCTTTAGGTAGCGCTGTGTGTTCCGGCTCCAGGGGCGCTTCTGGCCGGTAGCCTCGCTCGCCCCAGTGCCTGCACGTCATGTTGTGCTTTTGCATTGCAGAAGGTGCTCCTCATCCTCAGGGAGGGTGTTTGTGTGAACACATTCTGAGCTGTTCTGCCTCTCGGCTGCCTGACCCTCTCTGCGCTCCTCCTGTACTTCATCCCATGCGGCTTACACCCAATCTCAAGTGCTTTTGCAGCCTTACACCTAAGTTGAAGATGGCACATTATATCTTTCTCCCAGTTTTACAGAAAATGAGGTCTGTGCTCTGCAGTATCTTTCTAGACTCCGTGTTTGGCTTCTAGGAGGAAAAGTGGTAAATACTGACCTAAGCCATGTTCATCCTGGGAGTTGCCACTTTGTTCCTAAATCCTAATATAGCCCCTGTTTCCTGACCAGTTTTTTTAAAAGTGCTGAGAAGCAGTAGCCAGCATCTGCCTGGAGTTTTGGACTTTGCCCTCTCTGCTTTGTGCAAACCAGGAGAACATTCGCTTACTTTGAAATATTTATATATTACATCTTAGGGTGTAATTAGGTGAGTGAATTCAAATCATCTTATTCCTCCACTACTTTTGTCTAACGTATCTTGGATTTCATTCTTATCAGTCATATTTTTCTACCCTCCTCTCCTTCCTTCCCCTAGTAGGTGAGAAGGAAGCAAACCATTTTCTCACGCCTGCCTCATGACCCCCAGGACTCCTGCAGCTTTCCGCACCTTTATTACAGCACCGTTGTCGTGTTGTTATTGTTTACCTACAAGAGGGCCTGAGTCTCACTCTCTGGCGTCCGTCCCCACTGGTACATTTCAGAGACTGACTACCTGAACGGAGGAGTCATATGTTGATGATCCCTCTCTTATTAAAAACTTGGTCTGGCCCAACCTCAAGAAGATGCTGAGATATCGTGGGCGTGCAGTACTTTGCAGGAGGGAGACAAGGAGGAAGTTCTTCATCTTACTAGATCAGCACCCTTGTGCAGTGAAGAGACTAGCTTTGGGAGTTTGGCTGTATCCCTGTTCTGTGCAGTCTCTTCTACATACTGGTTGGTACTTCTGTGGCCTTGAGCACGTTGATGAATCTCTCTAGCACCCCAGTTTCTTCACCTCATCATCTATAAAGTAGAATTTGTAACAATTGTCTCGCTAGGCTTTTGCAGATATTAAGGGAGATATAGTGATAAACACATAGTAGGTCCACGGTGAGTCTTAGTTCCCTTTCCTCTTCCCTTGTTCTCTTTCTTAATGTTCATTGTATCTCATCAGATTTTTTGTCTGTTTCCCTTTGTATTTTCTATAGACTTGAGCACTTCCTCAAATCCCAGGGTTTTCACAGCATTTTTTCAGTAAGGGCTACTTCTTTGTTCCACGTTAGATAGGATCTCCCCCTCCCTTATCGTCAAATGTTCTTTTAAACTCTCACCTCCTGGGAGAACTCCCTGTGCAACCACACCAGTGTGACAATGACTGCCCTTTTCTTCCCCACCAGGAGCATTTATGATTGTACTGTTAGCATTTTATTTCTGACAGCCTCCCATCATTCTTGAGCTGTCATTCATTTCATTGCTCTGGACAATAAAATAGAATTTCTCTTTTTTATGAACTTTGTGAAATTTATATCCCTAAAGTTCACAGAAATGGTCTCCAAAGTTGTTTGATTTTGTGCACCTATGAGTAAAAACACTTCATGTATATGTCCCCCATATAGGACAATATTTACTTTTACTTATGTGAATTACTACAGTAATAAAAATAGAAAACACAAAACTAAGTGCTCTCGATAGAGACACACATATGTGAATGTATATCTATATATCCTAGACATTCACACATGCATATACATGTGTGTATATATATATACACATATAGAAATTCATATAGTGTGCATTTTACAAGACACACAAAAACAGAACTAAAAAGAATTAATTGAAAAAATAAATATGCCTGATTTTGGGATCTGGCTCATCTTGTACCAAAGTGTTTTGAAACATAATTTAAAATTTCTGGATCCCAATGAAGGATCTGCTGTATCCAGATGTGCTGCCAGAGAACTTGGTTTGCAGAGAATTTGATGAGCTTTGTTGTTTACAAAACTAGAGAAATGCTAACCAAAGAATTAAAGCTCTGGAAGCTTCAAGTGCTGCTCCTGATGGCCTTCACTCAGCTGCTCTACCGTGGACTTCACCTAAGATGAAACCTCTCAGTAGCTGTGTATTTGGACAGCTGCATCAGAAGGGATTTTTAAGGGGAAACTGTCATGCACAATTAGGTGCAGGGAAGCAGTAGTGTGTGCTGCTGCAGCTCTAAGTCACGTTTCTTTGTTTTATAGCGTTAGTCAGATTCTTCTAGCCTGACCCATGTCTTTCTCACATGGTTGGTATTTACTCGGTAACGTTGTACTGAATTATTTAAGATGAATCAGAGTCTTACTAAACCGTCCCACCTTAGCAAAACCTGAGGCGCTTAGGTGAACATAACAGATATCTCAACTCTAAGCTACAGATTAAAAAGTCCAGCATTTACCTAGTGAATTCACTAGTTTTCAGTGTATATTTGGTAAACTGTATGAGTCTCCTAGAGCTGCAATAACAAATTTTCACAAACAACAAAACAACAAAAATTTATTCTCTAACAATTCTGAAGGCTAGCGACTGAAAACAAGTTGTCATCCGGGCCACATCTCCTCTGAAGGCTCCAGGGAAGAAACCTCGTTGTGTTTTTCAGCTTCTGATGGTGCCTGGCAATCCCTAGTCTTTCCTGTAGCTGCCTCACTCCAGTCTCTGCCTCCGTCTTCACTTGGCCTTCTTCTCTGTGTGTCTCTCTCTGTGTCCTCTCTTCTTCTTGTAAGGACTCTGGGCATTGGATTTGGAGGACACCCTAATCCAGTATGACCTCATGTGCAAAGACCCTTTATTCCAAATAAGATCAGATGCACAGGTACTAGGGGTTAGGGCTGGAACATACATTTTGGCAGGATGCAGTTCAAACCACTATATAGCTGAAAAAATTAAAATAACAGCTTAATAACTTCTCCCACACCTGATGTAGCATCCTACCTCCTTTCTGGGGCACACTCAGACCCCTTTGCAGAACACTGGTCTAGAGTGCACAACTGCCGAGGTTTTCATTCCTTTCTTTAATCAGTAAATCTTCAGGGACTTGAGCCGTTTTTCCCCCCAAGTTTCCTGTCACTTCTGTTTCTCCATCCCTCTCTTCCTCAATGGTCAGCCCTAGGCCTGTCCCACTGTTGCACCTTCAGTTTTCTCTAAGATGAAATTATCACGAATCACCACATTCTCCAGTAAGACACGTCCTACATATGTTGTTCCCAGGCTTCCAATAATCTTGAATATTGCAAAAGAAATGTTGGTACAAAGGAATGGTTTTGTATTCAATTCTTGAACTAAGAAGGTATGTCCCCACTTATATCACTTGTGCTGGCACTTAAAGATTTAAAATGACAAAGTTTGACAAAGAAGTAGGTTTTAAAAAAACACATTGCCAAATAACTGGTTTGAAAGAATTAAAAGTTAATTAGGGTCCTGTAGACACAGTCTTTGAAGACTGTCCATTGTTAGTTGCTTTATAAACCTTGCACATTAATTACTGGATTTGGAGTTGGCCTTCTGGGCATCTGGGCACTAGCATGACACTGGTCCTGGGATCAAAGAGTTTACTTTTCCTGAAATTTTAGGTTAGGACACATCTTCTCTTGTTTGGATGAATCTCTGTCAAATGAGTGAACGTCACCATCCCCCTCCCTCATCCCTAACCAGCACCCGACCCCACCCCCCACCCTCCACCAACACACGGAAGGGCTCTGAGAACAAAGCTGAGCTTTTCACGGACCAAACTGAGCCCTGACGTGACATGTCTTGAAGCTCTTTTTTTCTTACCATTAGGAAAGATAGGACTTTGGTGAAGGGTAAAGAAGAGGAGTGGGCTGTAAAAAGTGAGGAGAAAGTGGCAATCTTATCAGACCTACTATCTGAAAAAGAGCCTCGCTGAAGACCCCAGCGCAAGAACGCACCGGTTGTTCCTCCTGGTCCCGACAGGAACCGCTCAGTTCCTAGGTGCGGCCAGCCTGACCCGTACATGCACGTCCATAGACACACACATTGAGCCTCCCTCGGAGCCCTCAGTTTCTGCTTTAAGTTCTGTACGAATTACTTCAGTTATTGTTAAGAAGATGCCTGTCACTTGGCAACATATGTTAGTGTGTCCCTCCCTGACTTGTTTGCTAGGCGGTCTCTCAGCCTTTCTGTGAATCCAGCAAAGGCTGCCCCACTCCTCAGGAGTTCAGTGTCTCACTCTCCTCGAATCTGCCTTCAAGTATCACAAACGCAGTGAACTGCCAGTTGTGGGTATCATGGGAGAAACATTTTAGACAAACAAAAAAGTTCTGAGTCAGTGAGATGAGTTGAATGAAATAGGATCAAAGGATATAATTGATTTTTTTAACGGATGGCTAGTCTTCCTCTTATTTTGTTTGTCTCCAATAAAACGCAGACCTTGAGTTACTGGTTTTACAGAATCTGACATTATATTTAAACCTACTCAGGCCACCGTTGGTAATGATAGGGTGGGAGTGGGAGTGGAGGAGTTTAGATCACAATTTAAAAAACTTCTGCAATTTAAAAAAAAAGTCTAGTTATCAAGGAAGTTCAAATTAAAATAATAATATTTTAATCCCAAACATTTAAATTTTAAGGGTTGGAAAAGGTGTAAGGAAATTAGCACTTTTACACTTTGTATGTGACAAAGTAATTTGGTACACTTTCTGGAAGACATTGTAGCAGTAGATATTAGGGGCCTTAAGTATGTCTTAAATGCTTTAGCCGGGTGAGTCTACCTCTAAGAATTTACTCCAAAAAAAAAAAAAGAAGAAGAAGAAGAAGACGAATCCTAGGCGGTGTATAACGATGTATTACCTGAATGTCTTTTGCAGCAGAATTTCTGTCATAAAACCAAGTGTTTGTTATATAAGTAACAAGGTCACTATAAAAATATATTTAAGAATGGGGAATTGTTCAGTAGTTGTGCTGTACCCATATGACTATTGAAAAACACATTGTCAACAATTATAGGATAAATGCTTGCTAATGTTAAATAAAATAGATATGGAAGAATATCTGTATATACATAGAGAGAAAAATACATAGAAGGGAAATATCCTACAGTGTTAGCTGAAAGAGTCTTTGTCTAGTGACATTGTGGATTATTTTGTTTTACTTCTGTTTTTCCTTATTTCTCTGCAGTGAATATGTCACACTTTTATAACCAAAAAAGAAAATACATGTATTCTTGAGAATGAGTAATAAAAATCCCGCAAACATGGCCCCTTCAGATTAGTCATCAAGAATATGTCGTATTACTTGTCCTTATTAGCCAGTTCTTGGCACTTATAAAAGCATGAGCCCTCACCTGGGGTCTCCTAAAATCATTCACGTTTGTTAGCTGTTTTACATCATTTTGAGATTCTACCCCATCCAGTCCTCCCATGATTACTATTCTTCTAGTACGTCAGTGGTGACTTATAAAGGGTCTCTGATACTTTAAGCTATTTCTGTCAGTGATACTGGTAAAGCTTTTTAAAATCACTGTAACCAACCAGAAATACCATTACCTTCATGATGTTTAGACCAAGGAATTAAAGCTGTCAAACTCTTGTGACAAATAAACAGTCTGCCAACACACAAGCCTTCAGTTGCCTCTACTAATATAAATAATATCCAAATAAATACACGCTGACATGTATAAGATGCCAAACACATGCTCTTAAAACTCTCGTGAAGTAGGTGTGTCTAGAAGATGCCCTCAATGTCTGTGACTAGCTGGCACCAGGCTTGTGAGATGATACGTTGTTGTTGTTTTTCTCCCTGCCATACAGACAGAGCTATGACATTCAGATTGTGGCGCTGGTAAACCAGACGGGCTTCCGATCTGGGAACACCCTCGATTTAAAGAACCCTTTCTTCAGGTAAGATGCCCTCATCCATTTCACACCTGTGTATATAGAATCTCACTTGACCATAGGACTAGGTAAAGAGGTTTCAAATAATTCTATCTATCCTAAGAGGAAAAAAGCATCTATTCTTCCTCTCTAAGGAGACTTGGATCCCAATAAGGAGTTGAACATTTTATGTCCCATTAAGCAGAATTCAGTAGAGAACAGTCTCACCCTGAAACAGAGCGCTCCACAGAGCCCTACAAAGGGCATCCTCTTTCCTGCTGAGCTGTAATGAGCTGTGTGACCTCAGGCAAAGTCGCTTTCCTTCTGGCATTCGGTCTTCTCCTCTGCAAAATGTGGAATTGAAAGATGATCTCCTCTGACCTCTGTTCACCGTGGGATGACTATATAGCAGTTGTTCAGTACACCTAAAACATGAGTCCGTTTAAAGTACATTTTGGAGGGGTTTTTTTGAGACCGTGTACGTCAGGACATAACTCTCTTTGGAAGCTATGCAGATTTTGTCTGACACAGATAACTTGCCACAATGAGCTGGATACAACAAACGTTTCTGGAAAAGCTCTCCATCTTTATACCTCGTCAATATGAGCCTATTAAAACTCCACACGTGAAATCAACCACACAGATAAAACCACCGGACACTGTCATTCTTGACTTCCTTATTAAAAAGCAACTTTTCCTTCATATTGTAATGTCTCCCCAAGGCTTTCATTCAAAGCATCATGTCTGTATAGTGTTGGAAAGCTTAAAGAGAAGAGGAAACCCAGGAAACCAAACCAAGACTTCTTTGAAAGAGACGGGAAAATGAAATGCTGACCTTGAAGCAGGGGAGGGAAAAAGTGGACAAGGCTGTAACTGCGTCTGTTGTGTGCAGGGTGTCACACGCGGTATGAGTCTTTGAAACCTATTTTCGGTTAGGGGTATGGATCTCATCTCTAATTCTGAGGGAAGGAAGGAATTATCACTCCCATCACTTTGCACAATCCTGCCATGTAAAGCAAAAGGCACAGGCTTTGGCCTCAGAGAGAACAGGCTGGCTAGTCACCAGTACTGTTCAACCTGCCTGAGCCTCAGTTTTCTCATCTATAGAACAGGATGAACAACGTACCTCGCTGGGAGGTGGCAAGGATTTCTGTAACACCTCCCAGTGAGGAGCAGTTCCCATAATTGGTGCTTAGTAAATGCTGCTCTCTTTTCTTCCTGTTCCCTGCTCATGAGCTCACTCTGTGAGTAAATAGATGTTGATCTGTAGTTCATTGCAATCCATTGGATTTTGGAAAAGAGAATGAATTTTTGTAAGCTTTTAGAAAGCCCTCCTTTTGAATGCAAGAACCATGTGAACTAGTGATTCTGGAGACCCACTTTGATTTCATTGTACAAAACAAGGTGTGAGCCAGAAAACCACCTAGGGAGGGCCTTGGTGTTGACCAGCCCCTAATTTTCATGAAGGCGCACACACACAGTGGCCATGAGGTCAGAGTGAGAGTTTGTCAGAGATCTAGTGATGCTCAAGATGACCAGGGCCCTGTCAAAGCAGGGGGACTGTGGAGCACAGAGCAGCCGCATTTCCTCTACCTGTTTCTCTCAGCAGCAAGGCTGACTGATAGATTTAGTTAAACAGATGAGATGCTTAAAAAAGTGGCTCCGCTGGGAATTCCAGATCGTGATTATACTTCTTCACTATCCTCTTCCTGATGTCTAGGCCTCAGTATCCCCGGCAGGGATGTGTAAGCTGAAAGACAGAACCTTTGCGGAGTACTTAGCATATAGTAGGCGCTCAGTTAAATGTTGACCAGTGATAATACCCTTCTGCTCAACCACATTCAACTCTTGTTATTGCAGCAACACAAGGGCGTGTGTGTGTGTGTGTGTGTGTGTGTGTGTGTGTATGTATAGTACATGTATGTTGAGGGAAATTAAAATAAATGGCATTACCTAGAAGAATTATTAGGCTCAAAATAAATTTCTCTCCATTTGCTCTTTATTCTACCCGTTTTTAGGTCACAGTAGACCCAACTGACACACAAAAACAAAAGACTCGCGTTTGTTTTTCAGCCAGTCCCCGATACCACCTGACCACCAGTGATATGCTAAAAACGTCTCACGGTCCACCAATGAATTACTGGAAACATGAGCACCCAGCATTATACATGCTGTGAAAGTTGCTGTTTTTCCGTGGGCAGGGTGGGGGGACCTTTATTTTGACTATTGACTATTTTTAAGTCGTTTGAAAATAAAAGGAGAGCTAACAGCTGTCACTAAAAGTGAGCAAGGGGACAAAACTACTCCATCAGGGAGGGAAAGCTCTCCAGTAAACCAGTAGATTTGCCCAGAACTGTGAGAGGAGTCCTTCATCACTCGGGTCCCAGACAGTCTGTCCCAGGACCTGGCCGGGCCACTGGCCGTGCTGGGCTGCGGAAGTGCCACCACGACCAGGGCAGATGCAGCCCCTGCCTCCTTGAAGCTCTCCTTGTAGTGGGAGGGAAGTGGGCAGGAAGCAGCCAACTGCAGAATTAACTGTCATCACAACTGCAGCGCGTGACCTGAGGGAGAGGTAGAGGGCGCCAAGAGAGCATTGATGGGGAGATCTGGAGCAGAGCGAACCCATAAAACCAGAACCGCAGGTGCCCCACACCCAGAAGGAGCTGACGCTGCTTGAGAGCACTGGGAGAGAGAGCCTTGTGGTACACTGTTGCAAAAATCCCACTAAGGGAAAACAGGACCCCCAAACTTCCTGTTGAACGAGACCTTAAGCATGCCCACTTCTGAGAAGCCTTCCAAGCCCTGGGCTGGCTTAGGTGCCCCCCTGCCACATCACTCAAAATGCCCTGTGCAGACACCGCTTCTAGGGCACCTAGATGACAGTCTTAATTTTATGTCTCTGCAGTGCCTCGTACCTTGAGCACGAGAGCCTACCTACTGCCTTTGGAATACAGTGCTACGCAATAGGTGCTGGATAAATGCATGATGAACGGGAAATGAATGTGGCCCCAGGGAGCTCCTGATGGGACCTAAAAGAACTGAGCTTGTGACAGACGCTGTGGCCCAAAGGCCAGTTTCATCTTCCACTCTCACATTGCAAGCCAAGCCTCTATTCTACTCACAAAACAACTGACCCCTCTTTCCCCCCAAAATTAAGTTCCCTTGATTTCCTCAAGTTAAATACTACCTTCCTTGGTGCTTTTTTTTCACCCGAATCATTAAGTAGTTATTGTATGCCACGCACTCTTCTCAGTCCTAGGGTGGAAGAGAATGAGATGCGTACAAACTCCCTGGTCTCGTGGTTAGATGTCTCCCCTCAGACATCAGGAAAGAAATAAGATAATTTCAGGTAGTTGTAACATTTCTGAAAACGATAAACAGAGTAATGTCTCCCTGATTTCAAGAATTACTATAAAGCTGCAGTAATCAAGGCAGTGCAGTGCTGATGAAAGGGTGGCATGTAGATGAGTGGAATAGAATAGAGGTCAGAAACAGCACCGAACTGTATGTCAGTCAGTCTTCAGCTAAGTTGCACACGCAATGGAGAAGTGACAGCCTTTCGAAAGTGATGCTGAAATGACTGGATATCAGTATGCAGTTAACTTCCTTCCATACCTCACACCATCTCAAAATTAACTCAAAAGGGATCATCTATTAAAATGTAAACATAGAAGAAAATATTTGTGACCTTCGTCAGACAACAGCTTTCTCAGATGTGATACCAGAAGCACAGATCATGAAAAGAAGAAAATGATCAGTTGTACTTTATCATAGTTTTAAAAATGAATGAAAAGATGTCACAAGCTGAGTGAAAATATTTGAAAATCATATATCTGGAGAAAAACCTACTATCCAGAATATAAAAAGAAAGTGTGATATAATACTCTCAAAGATAATAAGAAAAATAGTAAGGAAATCATGACTTTTTTAAAGAGCAAAAGATTTGAAAAGATCGAAAGAAAAGATTTGAACAGATACTTCATCAAAGAAAAAATAAGCACATGAAAAGATGTTCAGAATCACTAGTTACTAGGGAAAACGCAAGTTAAAACCACAGACATACCACTGCGCACCTATTAGAATGGCTAAAGTAGAGGTTCTGACAGTACCAACGCAGAGGAAGATGTGCGGCTCCTGGAACTCTTCACCCATTGCTGGCCGGAATGCAGACTGGTGCCGCCGCTTTGGACAGCTCCTCATGCAGGTAGACATTCTCTTAACCACATCACCCGGCAGTCCCACTCCTAGGGGTTTATACAAGTGAAATGAAAACTGCATTTGAATGTTTGCTGTAGCTTGCTTTATAATCACCAAAAACTGGAAATAACTATCATGTCTTTCACATGGAGAATGAATAACCAAACTGGTCCTTCCATACACTGGAGTAATTTTCAACCATCAAGAGAAAGGATGGATACATAGAATAATGCAGTTGAGTCTCAAATACATTATGCCGAGTGATCAAAGCCAGACTCGAAAGGCTGCAGACTCTGTGATTCCATTTCTCTGACATTCTGCCAAAGGCAACACTGGATGCAGAAAGCAGATCAGAGCTGGGGTGGGGAGCGGCTGGCTGGAGAGAGAGCATGGGAACCTTTGCAAGGCGCCGCGACTTCTCCGCATCTTGATTGTGGTGGCGGCGTTATGTCTTTATGCATTTGTCACAACTTACAGAACTGCACACTAAAAACGGTGGGCTTCACTGTATCTATAAAATATTTTAATTATATAAAAACTTACAAGAATGAACAAAGGGGTAGCAGAGAACCAGCGAACACACAGAGGTGTGCCTGACAGGGGCAAAGCCAGGCAGTGGAGGTGAGTGTTACGTACATCAGGTGATCTTCTCTTCCAGGCCTCTCGGAAGAGTGGAGACTTAAATGTCAGGAAGGAACCCGCCTGGGCAGACGTGCACATGCACGCAGAGCCTTCTGCAGGGGAACAGCAAGGGCAAGGGCCTGAAGCAAAACGAACCTACTACATAGCGGGAGAGAGACAAATAAGTCAGTGGGCGCTTAGTCTTTGCTATAAGCCTGTAAAAGAAGAAAAAGTTTTTTTAGTGAACACAAATCTGGATCATCATCTCAGATCTGAATTTAGGCTATGCATAATCAAACTTCCTAAATATAGTGGGTAAATATAGATCTAAGGCTGCCCATAAAAACTCCAGGGAAGGGCCTGGGAGTGGGAGGGGCGGAGAGGGAAGGAGTGAACTCTGGCTTTGGATCTGGTGGAACTTGCTCAGTGTCACAGTATCACCTTCTCTGTTTTAGGTTTGCTTAGAAGATAGTGACATGCCAAGCCATAAGTACACGAAGGCCTGAGAAGTCCCATAACATGCAAGTTCATCCTTCATGTTCCAAACACGCGTTCTAAATTTTACAAGGATGTTGAGGTTTATTTAAATTCCCTTTTCCCCCTGATGTTAAAATGTGCATCCTAATTTTATTGACCAATCTATTTCTTGGTGCTTTTTTATCTGGACTGGCTCCTTACAGCTTTCTGCATGTAACTGAAGAATACTTTTCTTTTTTGCTATCTTTTTTTTTAATTAGTAAACAACCAACAGCATTGCTTTAATTGTTGAAGTATTTAAAAAAAATTTAACAGAATCCTACCTCATGTTTATATGTATGCATATGTATGTCATGACATAAGAGCATGTTAGGGGCGATCTATTTGCAATTTTCATCTGTTTTTGCAAATGGTTTCAGCACATCAGCAGCTAGTGCCTAGTTCAGCAACGTGTTAAAGAATTTTTGCCTTCTTCGTGTGATGTCAGGAATGTTAAGAAAATGAAGATGGAACCTTTGTCAGCCCTCATAGGTTCACAGTGAAAACGTACAGCGTGAGACACTGGGGAGGCCTCTCCTTTACTTTAAGACATTTGTTACATGTCACACTTCACAGGGTGATGAAAATGGTCTTTCCAAAGAGTGGGTTTTGCTCTGGCCCCCAACCCTTATGAAAATTGATGTCACGTCAGCTTGACGAGCTGATGAAGGCCAACAAGCAACCTGCTCGCTCTGTGAGGGAAACTGGCGTGAAGAGCAACCACCCAGCCCCTCCGCCAGCTGGTCGCCCACCACCGTCACCCTCCACTCGGGGGCTTCGGCTCCTGTCCGCTCAGTTTAAATCCTCCCTCCAGCCACTCTAGCAGCCTTACATCACCACAAAGCCGCCTCACAACACACCCTCTCCAGGTGCCCTGCTGGCCCCCTTCCACACTGTCTAAAAGCACCCTTTCCTTACCGAACCCTTTCTTGCTGCATTTTATCACTTCATACCCTGAACACACACCTACCTTTCTCTTCTGTTAAGTAGCTCTTTGTGGGTTGGATCTGAGGTCAGTTCACCTAATAATGTTCCACAGCACCTAACAGTACACCTAGTGCATGGAAGGCGCTCGATAGCTGTACATTGCTAAATAAATTTATCCTGAACTTAAGAGTCATTGGAATTACGGAATCAGGCCTGACAATGCTCTAATTGCCTTCCAAGAATGGGAGGTGGACATGGTGTAAACCTTGGATTATAGAAGCACAGTCCAGCTGCTGCCCCTGCCTCCACCCACGCCCAGGGCAGACATTCACGGTCGGTTCCTGCACTCTTTCCCGCTCATCCCCCATGTGGTCTCACCGCCCTTCTTGGCCTGATGCTCTTGGAAGCCATTATCAGTCTATAGAATTGGGCACAAGAGATGAGCCCATGACTTTAAATGATTCAAAAAGTAATGCTCTCAGTCTTTGAACAGTCCTGGAGATCTGTAGTAGTTGTGAGTTTGTCATTTTGCTGAAGCACAGATTTGCTGCAGATCCATGCCACGGGATGGGTGCGAGGAGGTGAGTGTCTTTCTGTCAGTAGCTCAGAGGATGCACCGCCATGTAACCAATAGCTGTCCTGAGGTAGTCCTTAAAAACTGGTTTTCATCATCTTCACTTTATTTTTAGAAATTTAAGTAAGTTCTTAGTAAGTGTTAATAAACAAATGATGCAGGGTAGAGCTTATTTTAATGGAGAGATTTAGTAACTTTACTACTTATTCCAGTCCTGTCTCTATCGAATTATTTGGAACCAATGGGGATGACGTATTAAGTGTTAATTTACTGTGTTTTGTGGGGAAATTACATTATAATAGTATTTGCAGATTTGAAAGTGACCTCAAACATGTCCTCTGTGAATATCAAGAAGAGATTGCAAATTTAGGGAAACCTTGGAAAACTCGTCATTCATGAAGCTATCACATCGTAATTAAGACAAGGCCAGAGCCCTGGGGAGTCATAGCAAGTTGGTCAAGAGCTGATGTCAGGAGCTGCTGGGCGGCAGCCCCCACCTCGGGCTCTGCAACCAGGCCAACTGCGGGACTTGGAAGTCGCCAGGCTGAGGAGCTCCAGGAAGTACACCAGGAAGTTGCTGTAGAGGTAAAATTATGTTTTTGACAGCCAGTGACACAAGACCCTGACTGAAAGTATGTTCCACAGTAAATCTATCGTATCACAGCACAATGAGTCCAGAGGTAGAGTGGACTCCAGAATTGGTGATTTCATCAAGGACTGAGGTTCTTCCTTCCTTTTGCTCTGCCCTCCTTCCTCATAGCATAACCCTCCTTAGAAGCACAAGGTGACCGTGGAAGTTAGAGGAGTCACAACTATACACACAGGTTGTCCAGGGTCATAAAAGAGGCTATCACTTCCGGTGCCTCCTCTTAATGATAATGATAGTTAACACTTAATAACACTTACTGTGTGCCAGGAACTGTGCTGAGCCCCTTACGAACATTAACTAATTTTGATCCTTACAACAGCCCTATTAGGTATGTATTATTACTAACCCCATTTACCAGATGAGGAAATGGAGGCAGAAAGAGAAGTAACTTTCCTGATGACATGCAGCTAGTAAGTGGCAGCACCAGGATTATAATCCAGGCATTCTACTCTGAAGTCTGTGCCCTTAACCACCAAGCTCTCTACTACAAGAAAGCCTTTCCAAAAGCAACACACAGTTGTGCCTTCCTGCTTCAGTGGCCAGACCTGAGTCACATGCCCGCGTCTAAGCCAATCATTTACAAAAGACATGAGATTACCACAGAGCAGCTGATCAAGATTTATCACTGAGCTGGAGAGAAACTCATCTTTCCCAAGGGATGAACCCTGAAAAAAAGTCAAGTTCTGTTCCCCAAGAAGGAGAATGGACATAAAACAAGGAACCAGTATCACCTGCTTATGAGGGGCTGCCTACAAAGCGGCCAGATGCACGACCAGTTTCATCTCCTCTGCGCTCATAAGGTAAGATGGTGTGTCGTCTGTGCATGTCTCTCTCCCTCTTCCCACTTGCTCGCAAGTACTCCAGAGATAGGCACGCATCTCACAAATCTGCATATTCCCCACGGGGCCTGGCACAGGACCCGGCTTATAGAAAGTGTTCAAGAAACGTTTGTTCATTGTAATTGAATTTTCATTCTCAAGTCTACTTAATTGGAGAGGTCAACAGTTGGCCATGCTCAAGGCAGGCAGATAATGCATTTTCACATTGATCTAGCAATCAAATAAATTCTGAGAAATTTCCCTTGCCATGCAAAATAGCATGAAATCACACATTAACATAGGTCAATGCAAAAGCCTAAACTTATCACATTGTTAGTGTCTTGCACTCAGCACCCTTGGAAGTAACATTAATGTCACATTTTTATTATGACTTGACATTTGCACAATATTTAAAGATGCACATCAGAGAGCCATAGACAGAGCAGGCTACATAATTTTACCACCCAGTGCAAAAAGGAGATGCAGAGACCCAACCTGGATAGATAAGTCAGTCTCCCCTTTTATGAGCCTCGTGTCCCAACCCCTGTAGACAGGTGACCCCCAAGAGACTGCAACTTCCTGGCGCCTAGATTGAGAGTGGGTGGGAGGGCCTCATGGATTTCCCCACCGAACTCAGTCTCTGAGCGGGAGATAGCATTGCTCTTCCCCAGCCCGAGACGCAGCAGGACACATGCCTGATTCCAGCTCTACCTGTGCCCTGCCAGTCACCCCCTGGGAGCAGAGTGTAACAGCAGGAATCGGGCCACCCTCACTTCATCCTGCAGTAGTCAAAGGGGCAGAGGCAGGGAGGGGAGGCCAGGCAGAGCCTGGGGCTTAGCGCATGCATGAGAATTCATCCGAGATAGGCAGCGGGAAGGCAGGACCACCTGTGAGCCGAGGCCATGAGCCGCAGGTGCATGCTGTAGTCCCAGCATACTCCACTTACAAAACAGAGATTCAGAGGTAGAAGTATTAAGGATCTGAAGACAGTGACCACAGAACATAAACCTCAAACACCCTGCGTACAGGATCCTTTGCAACTGCACTTATCACACACGCTGGCCATAGAGGTAAAGTGTGGTGCCTTCCTCAGCTGTGAGTATCTGTCTGTGGAGAAGAGCAACATTGTCTTAAGTCATGCTGACTGCATGCATGAGCTTGTCTGAGGGGACAGGGAAGAAATTAGACAACGAAGAGGGAGTTGCTGTCTGTACAGGTGTTCATCCTGGGTTCCATTCAGTGGCTCCTCTCCAAATATATGCCATGGTGACTTTGGGCTTCACCCTGTAGACAGGGAACCAGGAGCCATTCCATGATTTTTACATGGAGTGGCACAATCAGATCTGTCTCATAAATGGACTTCTCTGGGGACAGTGTGGAGGAGGAATTCAAGGAAGTAGCAGCTCTAGGCAGGCAAGTGAACTAACTCCTAAATCAGCTATCACTGAAAGTGATGTGACAGCACAGTGGTTCAAGATGAGAGCTCTTTAGTTAGAGTATCCCTGGGTTCATGTCCTGATTCTGTCACTTACAAGGTATATAAACTTTGGCCAGTCACCTGCCTTCTCTGAGATTCAGTTTCCTTACCTGCTAAAATGAAGTCATAGCAATAGGGTTCTTGGGGGATTGAATGCAGTGATACAGATAAAGCACCTAGCACAGTGCCTACACCATTAAATACAGCTATAGCATGTTACATTACCGTAGAGAATGGATTCTCACTGACTTCTCTTCCCAGGCCCATGTCAGTATCCCTCCTAAAGCCTCTGTGCTTCCAGTTATAAGAGGAAAAGGGGTGCATGCCGACCACCCCCATCTACCAGTCTCTCTCCCCTCAGGAACCCGTAATTCCATGGGGCAGAAGGGGTGGCTGTTCATTCCCTCCCCTGTGTCATAATCACATTCCCCTCCCTCAGGGCAGCAGTCTCAAGATCTACCTGTCTACTACAGAGTGGCACCTTAGCTCCTTGACAGAAGGAACTCGTCTGTGGGTCACTTATATCTGAAAGGAACTTAGAAAAACCCACTCTTGGCTCATAGCCTAATTTTAAACATATTGTCTTGCTTAGGAAGTCGTCTCATTCATTTATTCATTCCTTCCTTCATTCACCCTCTCTTGCCCTGGATCAAGAAGCCTATATAAAGGATGAACTAAAGGATGGTGATTGAGGGAAAACATAGGAATACTCTAGTTTAATATTTGCAATATATTGTCTCCATTAAAACATAATTCATCCTTGTTATATTAATATAAGTGAAGTAATATGGAAATCCCACTTCTGTAACTTACCGGGATAGAGATCACCTGAGGAACACAACAGAAGTAGTTACACCTCGGAAACACCACAGGCTGCTGGCACTGTTCCCAGGTCTTAGGAAATACCTAGAAATGGTTTTTTTTAAGTTTTCTTCTGTGGGGGGAGGTAGTTAGGTTTATTGACTTATTTTCAGAGGCAGTACTAGGGATTGAACTCGGGACCTTG